TCCGGGCCGGTGACGTCATCACGCCGGCGCATGCGCAGTGACGCATCCCCGGCCTATATAAAGCACCTCAGGACGCTCATTCAGTGCTGAGTGATCTTCAGCCAGTGTTGGATGTCATTACCTTGCTCCTGTCTCCTGAACTTGTTGAACTGGCTTTCCTCCCTGACGTTCCCATTGGATTACCCTCTGTACCTTGCAGCCCGCTTGTTATCAACCTGGCTTGCTTCTTGACGCTCCTATTGGATTAACCCTTTGGACTTCGATTGCGCGCCTGTTTTTGACCTGGCCTGTCTCCTGACTTCCCGATTGGATTGAAGCACCTTCAAGCACGGCCGACTACTCTGCCAGGTCTCCGATCACCATAGTGACCCAGGATCCGCATCCGGCACCCGTGCACCCCCTGCCTGAGCACACTGTCTTCAACCCCAGTGGTCATCAGACGGGGTTGCAAGGGAGGTCCTCCTCGTCACCTCGGGCCCACACCATAACCCTAACACCTAGTGATTAATCTCAGCAAAGATCCATGGGATCCCTCATCATAGCCAATCACTCATATCCCATATGTTTACAGCAACAAAATAGACTATCGCCCAGATGTGGAAACCCCCATCCCTCAATCTAACTTAAGTTAAAAGCCGCATACAAGGCACACTCATTAATGAGAAAATAACTACTATGATAAATGACAAGCACAATGAGTTTCTTTTAATCTGGCAGCCATGGCTTATTTACTCTCCTCCTTCACAGCACACTGCACGCCTACTTAAACTCTAGACGCCATAGTTGATTTTTAACCTTTGAGGGGTCCCTATTTTCTAATTTCCCTAATGTTTACATTTTGATCCTGTCTCCCTTCCCTGAAAGCCTCTGGGGTTCCCCATTCTTGCACTTCCCCTCTCACCTCTCCCATTTTTTTCCCCTTCCTTCAACCCCCCTCCTTCACCACCTTACTAGTTCTATATTTGATAATAAACGTTCAATGTTCTGTCTGTTCTATCTACTATTTGCTTCTTTTCCATTGAAGAAACAGTTTTTTTCTATGGTTGTTATGGTCTACAGTTTTTATACCTATAGAGCTTTACATATAGGTCTCCATGCTGATTTATGTAGTCACCATCTGACATCCTATGACAACACTCCTCAAGATGTATTTTGTGCTTGTCGGTATATATTATTTTTACTATAGCACCATCACCCTTTTTGTCTGTCTACGGTAATGACTTCTTATCTTTTTCAGGTCTACACTTACTGTATTGAGACTTCTATTGTGGCCATGTCAAATGATTTTATTTAAAATGACACTAAAAACTCTGCAGTTAAATCTTAAAAATACATTCAAGTACCTTAATTATTGAAAAAAGTATCTTATTTGTGTATCACTCAGCTGTAAATCCTCAAATCATCTCTGAATTGGTGCTGACACAGTCCTTCCTTCTGGAGGGTGGCTACTTTTTGTTCCCCGTGGTCCCTGTGTGTGTTGTAAAGTAGTCACAGCTCCAAGCTCGCTCCTGTGATGGACTTCAATCTCAATACAAATTAGTAAACTAAACATGAGATTGTAATCCATCACAGGAGTGAGCTTGGAGCGGTAACTACTTTACAACACATGAAAAAACCTGTATCCCATCGCACTCCTGACCAGATAGAAGCCCATGTAAAAGAGGGCGGGTGCGGCAGTGACAGCAGATGCCTGCGCAAAACACAAGTCCAAACAGAAAGTCACTCGCACTCCAATGCAATGCCAAGTCAATCTTGTGAGCACGCTTCCTTCTTCAGGCAAATGAAAAATGAACACCAACAGCACCAAAGTGACATAAATACATAGAAGTGAAAACCAATAAACCAATCAAACAAATCAAATAAAGGTTACCTCCCCCTTCTGACGTCAGAACAAAGTCGTATTCCCGCCCTTTCTCTGTTAACACCCAGCATCCTGTGCAGACGATTATATGCAATTATACATCAGATGCATACCTTGCCAGATAAACAGTCTGCTCCATCCATGGCTCTCTGTAGGAAATAGTGACCACCATATTGATCAGAGGCCCGATCCGCCCCTCACACGATCTCATGTGGAAGTGGGCAGGAGCCTGGTAACTGTAATGGATCCATTCCCATTGGCCGCTGAAAACCCACCAGCTCGGTGGGCGCATGCACAGTGACCACCTGCGCACTCGCACTTCCGCTTACATCATCGCCATGTCACTTTGGTACTGTTGGTGTTAATTTTTCGTTTGACTGAAGAAGGAACCGTGCTGGTTCCGAAACGTTGCTGTAAAATGCTACACTATTTTTAGTCAATAAACAAGATTGACTTGGCATTGGAATGCGAGTGACTTTCTGTTTGGACTTACTTTACAACACACACACAGACCATGGAGAACAAAAGTAGCCACCCTCCAGAAGAAAGGACAGTGTCAGCACCAATTCAGAGATTATTTGATGATCTACGGCCAAGTGATACACAAATAAGCTACATGTTAGTTAATAATTAAGGACCCTTAATGCATTTTTAAGATTTACCTCCTTAGTGTCGCTTTAGGTATAGTGGGGTCCTTGGGCCCATTCTGTAATCTCATGCAAAATGTTTTGCTTGATAACACTTTGGTAAGGAAAATATTACTGCTAATTGGCTGCTCTGCTATACAAGATCTTTACTTTCTGAAAGGCCCATCCAGGATATTGAGGGAATCTTACAGCAAGCATTTTTCTACTGATAAGTTGGCTAGCTTTAGGTAAAACTAGGCCTAAGTATACATATTTCTTATATGATTTATGAAGGCTGCAGTACAAATATAATTCAATCAAAATGTGATCAAAGTCTCATTAAACTTTCAAATTAACATTCCCCTATCTATATAACAATATTTGTGTAAAAAAATTATAAAGTTTCACAGACAGGCTTCCATTATTTTCTGTCCAAAAATTTAAATTGAAAACTACATGCCATAAATCACCAGGCATTTATGACAGAGTAAATACAACAAGTTAACTGTTAGCATGCAATTCTGCTTCGGCACATATAGTTCAAGCTAAAGTTGTACAAGAAAATTTTTTTACACACATCTCCATTCAAAACTTTTTTTAGTTTTGTATAGAGAAGAGAAGGGCTAAAATTGCAAGGCTTTAATTTCGGTCCCTTTGTCACCAGAAGAGGAAGCATGGCACAGCCTTTTAATAAAGAAACAACAATAAAATTAGTTAGAGGGTGTCACTCAGACAGGAAGTAAAGGAAAATCTTCCCAGAGGGATGCACAGAACATTACAAACCTGGTAGAATTTCTAATCATTCTCTAATCAAAACTTAAAACAAGTTCTGTCTGGAGTTGTTCTTTAATATATATGGTAAGTGTACTCCAAATTGGTCATTTCAGCTTTGGTGGAATACTTCCATTTCACCATATGCATGTACTTTTGCTTTTTATTTTACCAAATTGCCACTGTTCTTGGTTATACACATGTAAAATGGCCTCTTCTATCACCACTTTTTGTTTTTCTTTGCAAATATTGTGGAATCTCATTGCAGGTTAAAAGCTTGGGTTTAGAGATAACTCTCCTAACTAAAGCTTTACCAGGAAGAACATAAGCAACATACACACTAAACAAAGTTCTAACTCTCACTAGACTCCAGCAACACCGCTGTAATTTAAGGAAAGTCCAGGTCACCTAATACCACCTAGAACCACCACTAATTATCAGCAGAATAAAGTACAAAGATATGGCAAAATGTTTATCATGGGGCTAAAATCCCTCAGTAAACCTATATTACTATTTATCAACATCTTTATAACTTTCCAGTGTATGACACCTTGCTAATGAAAGCCTAACAGTGTTACCGTATAGTTTGCATTTGTATACTGTATGTACATGGTTGCAAATAACATTTCTCATTACGTGTAGGTCCTGTTTGCTGCTGATCTTCCTATTTCACTAATACGGTCTGTCTGACTGAAAACAAAGATTTGATGTACATGACGAAAAGGTGAAACGTCCACAATGCACATGTTGGTCAGATACCATGTGATCTTTGCCTAGGCTGTAAATTACATGATGGAGCTCAGAACAGAGTTTTTTAATGCAAAGAAAAAAAGAGGTACTTAAAATACATTTTGTTAAGGACTGCAGCCCTCACACCTATACACCTCCTATGGACCGGAGCAATTTTTACATTTCTATGGTTCTGTTTGGTAATACATTTTTCATTGCTTAACATAAAAAGTAACATTTTGTTTTGGACAAACTAGGCTTTTTTTGGTGATGTTTTCTTGTAAAAATTATGTTTTACGCAATTCTTTGACAAAATTCAAAAGGCATTTTTTTTCAACATCAATCGGTGTTAGTTTAAAAAAAAAATATGTCTCACTGTATATAAAAGGAATGCATTTTATGCTATAAATTTTGCTATTTACAATTACACTAAAATTATAAATTATAACACTGGAACAAAACATTCCTAAGTTATTTACAAATAAAAAAGGATCTTTTTTTTAATTTTGCACCTTTTTAAGTGACACTACAAAAACTTAAACAAAGCTAAAAAAACCAAACAAAATCAAAATGTTTAAATACTAATAGTTAGAAAAAAATTAAACAAAAAAAATTCAGCAGAAGAATTATAGCTTAAGGGAGAAGGGGAAGAAGGAGTCAATTGGGGTTGCTTGGGGTAAACTAAGGGTTAATAAGGAGTTAAATAGGAACACGTTTTTTTAAAGAAAAATGTGTTTATTTTTTTAACCTTGTCAGTGTAACAATGCTACTTTGTATTTCTATCCCAATTCTAATTAGTGTTTATAAAAACTGTCAGAGGGTTTGACAGCAGCCGCTTTATATACACAGCAACACCCAGATATCATTTTTATAGCAGGTACTTGCTGGCAAAAATGAGGAATAAATAACTATTATGGAGTTTGTAAAGGAAGTTATGGCTGCTTTAGAAAGGCACTGCTGTACTTCATTGGTATACAATTCAATAGTGAATATATGGAAACACACAAACTTACATCCAGTGAGTCCTCATTAACAATGAGGAGTGACATTGTCTGTGACACCAACCGGCACGAGTATCCTGTCAAACAAAAAGTATTCATTTTTAGCAATATAATTTAACAAAGCAGAGTGACAAAAGAAAAAGGCAAATGTACTATTGAAGTCCTGCTAGCCAACAGTACCGGCAATTGAAGGTGCAAATGAAATCTGAAATTGTGTTACTCCATGGGGTAAGCAGCTTGGCAATTTAAAAAGGAGTTTAATCTCTATAGGAAAGATATAAAAGGACAATGAAGAAAGCCATGCAAATCATCCCAGAGGCCAACTTTGTATTCAGAATTGTTAGTTTATAACATAGATACTGTATTGTAGTTTATACACCTTTGTTACTCCCCCCAGCCCTACTCCATAGAAGCCACTGCGTCCTTATCCTGCATTGACAAGGCATAACAAGCCAAAACTAACAATATACAAGTTAGAACAAATGGATCTGAATTTCAAGCTTATGCCTGTGCAGCAAATCTGTGGCTCTGGATACACAGTTGGCCTTTGGGGTGGTCTGCATGGCTCCAGACATTATACTTAAATGAAGAATAAATGTAATTTATTCTTTTGGATTTGTGATGGAATGGAATTCCATGTAAATACCTTTTTGTTCCAAAAGGAGTGCTGAACTTCATAGTATCTTCATAGAGGACTTTCTGGTTCCTTCTGGGCCCCTCAGCATCCTGGACACCCCAAATCAATGACTGTGCTGATGTGCAAGAAAGCCTTTGCTCCACCTCTTAGCTTTACTATTAGCCAATAACTGCCATAGGATCCCAACAGGATAAGGGTAGGGTTAAGTGAAGCTTAGGGGGTAGGAAGAAGTTCAGCCAGACTCTTGACCAGGGAAGCTTTTTCCATTAGTCCAGAAATTAAAATTAAATGTAGCCCCCATCACCTTCAGTGATGTGGCTACTAGACATTTAGTGATAGCCAGGGCTGTAGTCAGCCTGTCTGGATTTATAGTGGCAATTATCTTGTTAATTCCATGTGTCTAGCATTGACTGTACCCCCTGGTCGGAGTGTGACTCTGTCATATTGTGGGGCAGCCAATGAAAGCCACTGTAGTGTACAGTACAGCAGCCAATCACTGAGTTTCTCTCTCAGTCAGTGGTGCATGCTGCGATAGGGTACATATACTGGTGGGATTTGCCATGTGCTCAGACTAACCATGGAATAGGGCTGGGTGCTGTTCAGCCTGTCCCCCAGGCTAGGCCTGAGGCCTGGGGTGGGACCAATGCTGGCTCTTGAACTACCCTGGAACTAAGAGGACTTCAGGAGTATGGTCTGTGTCTTTCCTGCTTGAGGATCTGTATCCATCCTGCTTAGCTGCTACGTCAGTTGCTGTCCGCTGCCTCCCAAGTGGATCTACACTGATACGCCAACCAGGTCTGGTGAGTCTGGGGCTCTTGTTGGATACCCCTGGACACCTAGAAACCCTATAACCTCTCTCCCCAGTGAAGATGTTCAATAAACCGTTAATTGGCATTTTATTACTGGAGTGGACATCAGTTTGTGGGCACCAGAAGAAGGGCGGTTAGTGCTAATGGGTGGGCAACTGAAGAACATACCCTAGACAAACTAGAGAAGAACTGGGCATTCAGCGGCTCCTTTGGAGGTGAGCTCTACATAAACATAACATTTACCGCCTCACATGTACATTTTGTGGTCTCTGTAAAGTCTGGTCAGTTTTCTTTAAGTCAAGTACATGTTCCCAGACCCTTTCGTTGTAGTGTTTTGAAACTTACTGCTATGTCCATAACCAAAAGCACTAACCATCAAGTGATTTATGTGGCCAAGTTCTTGGTTCTGAGGCCCATATGCTATGCTCAGGGCGTCTATGTATTTTATATACCACAGTTGGACATTTCAAGTTTTGTATTATTGCATAAAATGCCTCAGATGAAATTTATATATCCCTATCTATGTTTGTAATTTCTTTTGTGACTTCTTTGTCACACACTTTTTGAAATTCCAGATGCATTAAACAAATAACATTTACCTATATTGACAGCAGTTTCCTGTTTGTCTCCTGTTAAAACCCATATTTTTATTTCAGCTTTCATCAAAGTGGCTATAGTTTCCGGGACTCCTCCTTGTAGCCTGTCCTCTATTGCTGTAGCACCAAGAAGATTCAAATTCTGTAAAAACACACATATTTTACTAAACTTAGTAAAACTTTAGATGATTTCCAAACATTTCTAAGCTCAGCTGCTTACTGTTGTCTGTAGGTGCCACATTCTACAATGGAAATCTGAAGTACACATCTATAGGGTTCATAGCTACATTTGTACTCTCTACTTATGCTAACACACATCCCCAGAATCTAGAAACAGTAATAGTCTTGAAATGCTGCTAACTCGCATGTCTTATTCATGGAGCCCCTACTAATATTTGAGCTGGCAATACACTGCTTGAATTTCAGCCGAATCCTACTGCCTAGCCAGAGATTCGAGCAGTGTGTGTCCCTCCTCGGAGCTGGTCCGAAAATTCTAAGGCGAACAGTAGCTGCAGTCCTTGCAATGGCCCGGGAGGGTAGGGGGGATTCCCCATTCATGCTGTTTAGCGTTTTTCATTGTTCTAAAGGTGCATCACCAGCTAATGACATGTCAACAAAGGACTGCCAAAACTAATATGTTGTAATTATTATGCTGCTAACCAAACACTATGGAGAGGTCACAGATAAATTAGATACCAGATACCCAAATGTATTGTTATCTGCTTGTATGATCATATGACAATAACATTGTGGTCTTATTGTATGTTTGTGTGACATTTAGGCAGGTATGTTGTAAGCTCCTCTGGGGCAGAGACAGGTTTAAATATTTCTTTGTACTTTGCAAATCACGGAGTAATATTTTCTCCCTATATTAACATATTATTAAAACAACAGTCCACTAAAGGAGTATACAATAAAAACAACAGTCCACTAAAGGAGTATACAAATTAAAACAATGGTCAACAAACTGAATATATAATAGAAAACAACAGTCTACAAACTGAATATAGAAAAAAAAAACAACAGACTACTAATGGAGTATATAATTTAAAAAAAAGTTTACTGAGTATACCAGAAAAAACACAGTCCACTAAGTATACAATGAAAACAACTGTACTACATGAGTATACTATTAAAAAGTCCCCTATCTGAATAGGGCTGCAACTAATGATTATTTTCATAATTGATTAGTTGGCCAATTATTTTTTCGATAAATTAGATTACAAATAATTAAATAAGTGCCATCCTTAATTTATAATAAAATACACAAATGCAGTTTTACAAAGTTTACTTCAGAATAAAACTGCACGCACAATTTTTTGCAATCGCACTGCACTAACATTGGGAGGCGCATTTGGAGTCCATTGAAATTAATGGCACTGCAAAACACCTACCGCAGCAGAATTTGTCAGCCCAAAAACCGAAAATGACTTTTTCCCCACCTTTTATAATTTTTTTAAATAATTGTATTGTAAGCACATTGCCGCGTGAAAAGCTTCAGACAGGAAATGACAGCTGCCAGTGCCAAGATTCCGCATATGTCAGCTGAATGTAAATACAGCAGGTAGTGGCCTGGTGCAATAGCCAGCCTGCTATTGCCCATTTCAAATTACAATAGCCAATAGCAGGCTGGCTATTGCACCCGCCCACTGCTTGCTGTGCCCTCCTCCTAGCATGGAGGAGAGAGCTAGGGGATCCTACCAACTAATTGATAATGAGAATAGTTGACAACTATTCTCATTATCAATTATTATCGATTAATCGATTAGTTGATTGCAGCCATATATCTGAGTATATTATAAAAACAACAATCAGCTGAGTATACTATAAAGCCATCAGTCCACTAACTGGGCATACTATAAAAACAACAGTCCACTAACTGAGTATACAACAAAAACAATAATCCACTGAGTATATTATTAAAAACAACAGTCTACTAAGGGCTGATAAACTTTTGATCTACAGTGTGTTTGCTATGGAAGCTCTTGAATGGCCCAAGAAATGAAGCTACTGCAAAACATGTTTATAGCTCTGTAACACTCTGGATTGGTTTAGAACAGTGGTTCTCAACTCATGGGTCGCGACCCAAAAGTGGGTCGCGACACCCTATTCCAGCCTCTGAGCTATTTGTCAGCTAAGATAAAGGTACCAACATTATATATGATGGATCCAGATTACCAATTCTAACAACCTGACCTAATTAATTTATGCAAAAAGGGATAATTAGGTTGACAACTACAGCAAGGCGTTTCTGAAAGAGAAGAACACTTACTCAGCAAAGCAATGTGTATTTATCAATCTGCATCAACCATTCTTTGTTTTGATTTGATTGAGGTAGGGAGCATACTGTGCCTCTTGGCACGACTGAAACTAATTTCTAATAGGTAAAAAAAAATTGTTAGACAATTTTTTTGTTGGCTAAGCCAGTAGCAATTCTTATAAATGTTCTCCTTGCAACAAAATGCCTCATACATTATAAGACCACTGGCAGCCATTCTGGCCTATATTATCTACTAGGTGGATGGGTCCACATTTGCACATTATTCTTACTAATTTAACGTTAGTTTCCTTATTAGTCACTCACTAAAATCTTTTCTTTCCTCCAATAATCCATCTGTTTCACCTCAGCTAAGCCCTTCTGAATGTCAGCTATCCATAACTATTATGTGGGATCATCATACAAGTTATTAATTGGTTTCATATTTTCAGGAAACCCTCTTGGTCCATATAGCTTAACCCAAAGCTCATGGGAATGGCAGATAGTGTCAATATTCTGTTTTTCTTTTGGAATAATTACAAGAGAGTAATAAAAGGTTAGGGTGTCACCAAAGCTACAATATCAGGTTCATGGTGATGTCATGGTTTGCTATAATAGCCACAGTGTGTTTTCCCCTGTGGCCTAACCATACCGATAATCGCTGTAAGAAAATATCTAAGGGATCAAGGGATGTTAGGGGTTGGAGTGCAAATATTTTCTTAAAGAGAAAAACAATGACAAGAAAGCGGACAATATTTTGAATTTTTCTTTTAGACAAAAACTAACTTTGCAAATAACGTAAAATATTATAGACAGACATGTTTCTTATATACACGACTGTATGGGAATGTAACCTTTGCCACCTGCTGGCTGAAGATCCTGGGAGTAGTAGTAGAGACACAGCTGGAAAGTCAAAGGCCGATCACTTATGCACTGCTCACCTTTTCAATAAGCTCATAACAATCCTCAAGTTTCTGAGCCCTGTCCTTCAAAACGACACTGGCTTCATTTTGAGTTTTCAGCCATTCCTTGTATTCAGATTCGTCCAGGTCTGTGTATGCGAGACACAATGTCCTCAAACCTGTAAAGAAGTTTCAAAATAGTAAAATTATATCTAAGCTAGTCAGTATAATTATTTAAAGATGCAGCACATTATGGGCTCATATTAGGCAAGATATAAATATTATTAGGGTTTGTACCACTGGGTGAATGCAGCACACTTTCGGGGCCTTTAGCTTTAGTTTGAAATGCTTCATAATTCCATCTGAGTTCCTTTTAGGTGCATTTATCCTGCAGCTGATTTCTTTTTGGCCTCCTTCTAAGCTGCATTAACCTGCTTTTGCATTCCCTTTGGTTTGTATGGGGTGAAACGCAGTTCTAAAGTAAACAAAAAACAGTGTACAGAGGCCCTTACGCTAACTAGGGTCACAGCATGGTGGAAGAATCATCCTTACCCTGTGATGCCTGGCCAGAACAGGGGAATGAATTGTAGTGGTGCTGACCAGAGATGAATGTTGTGAACCCCTGAGCTGTCAAGATGTTAGCAACTGAGCAGAAAGGTGCACAGCTAGGTCCTGTGGCACCAAGCCCATCATCATCTCATCTCAACATAACTGCCTTTTACTTTCTCCAATAACTCAATCCAAACAATTATTACCTGTTGTATCACTTGCCCCTTCTACTAGATTGTAAGCTCTCACCAACCCTAGCAGGGACCTCCCAACCCTATTGTACTGAAATTGTATTGTATTGTAAATTGTATTGTAACTGTACTGTCTCCTCCATTTTGTAAAGCACTGAGCAAATTGTTGGCGCTATATAAATCCTGAATAATAATAATACAAATTTAACCCATCATGGCAGAGCATTTGTGTGGCAAACCAACTTTAAAAAAAATGAAAGAGCTTCACACATAATAACTATTACTTTTGTGTGCAGAATCATTGAGACACCAAAGGGTCCGTTTATAAATGTTTTCCCACCAGATTCACACATCTTTCACAAATTTTTCCAACTGAATCAAATTAGAAACATGTTTGAATCTAGGGTAAACGCTGTGTGAATTTTGTGTGAGGACATTTATAAAAAGACCCTCAAAGTGTGCAAAGATATAGATCCATTTTTAGCCCCAATGTAAATATTTGTTACTATTCAAGTAGTATGGGGGTAGCTTATCTGTTATGTCCATGCTGACACTGCTTTTCAGAACTATATGCTGCTCCTGTCAGCTCCAATATGAAATCTTCAGATACACCAACAGACTCATATTTGAAAGCAGGACACAGAAGAATCAATCTGGGCTATATTTATAGGAGAACTATGAGGTGAGTGCTTTTCACTCACCTCATAGTTCTAGCCGACCTGCGACAATGAGACTGTCACAGGTCGGCTCAGTAGATCGGGAGGTGAGCAAACACATACCGGCGTTCGCTCACCTCTCGATCCTGTCACGGCTCTCTGCCGTTACAGGGGAGGGGCTGGATTCCACCTCAGATCCGCCAGCGCTGACTGGCGGAACGGAGCGGTATACTGAGCCTAGGGTGACGGGAGGACGCTAGTTTGTGTCCTCCCGTTACCCTAAGGAGAACTATGGGGAAAAGCCATAACCCCATAGTTCTCGTTTAAAGAAAACCTGTGATAAGAGAAACATGAAGGAGGCCTCTGCAGACTTATTTTGAAATGCTACTTGCCATGATGACCCTTTGTCTTCAATTCTTTGAATCAATGACTGGAGCAGTATGGAGATAAGGACTTCTGATTTTCCTGATCCAAATATAGGTTCTTGGTCAGCGACCCAGGAAGTATTATATTTAGCAGGTCAGAATTAACCATTTACTACCCAGACCTTGTAGGATCTTCAGCCCTCCGCTCTTCCAAAGACCTCCTGCTTTCCAGCTCCCTCGTCAACTCCTCCTACGCTCACCTCCGGGACTTCTCTAGAGTCTCTCCCATCCTCTGGTACTCTTTACCCCAACCTGTCTGACTATTTCCCGCTCTGACTGCCTTTAGACGATCCCTTAAGACTCATCTCTTCAGGGAAGCCTATCCCACCTCAAACTAACCACTCAACCATCACGTTCTCAAATGAGGTATTTATAAAGAAGGTTTAACAGCCAGATTTGCCTACAAATTTACTTGAATTACCTGCCATTTGCCCAACATCCAGGATTCTAGACTAAGTAGCATTCGCCACAGTTATATTATGGCCAATATTACAAGTATTTACCGCTTTTGAATGCTGTCTGAAAGATTTTTATTGATTCTTTTGACCATCTGCTGCACTTTATTCACCTACTTGCCACCCACATTCACCATAAATCTTGTGTCCTGCTATGCTGCACCTTTGCTTTCCAATGTATGGGAATTAACAACTAAATGTCTTATGTGCAGGGGTATTTTATAAATCTATGCAATACAGGAATTATATAACTGAAAAATAAATGCAGGAGGAATGCATTAGGAAAGTATGTTGTACAGGTTGCACCCTTTGCCCAAAGACAGCAATAACAGGTACTCTTACCCTAGGCGCATTACCTTGATGAGAGCTGCATATAAGAGAGTGCTATTACCATTACCAGAGTGCGTAACATGAAAGCCAGATATTATCTGAGAGAGTGCTATAGGAGCTGTATATTTCTGGAGACAGTAATATAAAAGTTACATGTATTTAAGAGAGAGTGCTTCATGAGCTGCACATTACTAGAGAGCTACATGGTACCTATAGCTCTAGAAATATAAAATGAAGAATCTAATTAGCTGCCATGTACAGTACACCAGGAAACACAATACATATTTTAGATAATTTCCTGGCCTGATTTTATGGCACAGCTCCCCTAGAAGGAATAACTGGTGTTTCCCACCATCTTATTAAAAATGTACTTGCTTATAAGTGCAGATTCTTCATTTTCCTAACACGAAAAATGGCAGGAAGGAGTTAACCACACATACTGCTAAACATAGTCAGCCAAATCATGTTTAGGATTACAACGGGTTTGATGATGGGGAGATGTGTCATTGATTCTCATTGACACAGCTCAGTGGATTAATAAGCATTTGAAGCCAATCTTTGGACCAGGAGGGTGAAAGTCTGACACAGCTCAGTGGATTAATAAGCATATGAAGCCAATCTTTGGACCAGGAGAGTGAAAGTGCCCACACTCAAGTTTTCTTGTTTTGTCTGCATGTTTAGTCAGTCTATTCCGCCTGAGAATGTAAGACTGTCAAACCAATATTTTTCTTAGTTGTAGCCTGGCTGACACTATAGTTGAGTATATTAAAGATGGGAGTGGTGAGAAATACTTCAACTTCAACGCCATTTATCAACCACACCATAATTTAAATCCACTTACAAATGTCAGATTTGATAAAAATGTAATTTCTTCCCCGGCAGAGCTTTCATCCAAAAAGTGATCAGCTATGAAATTTATGATGAAGATAATTTGCTGCTTATCACCAGAACACATTTCTTTGTGTCTGCTAGCAGCCTGCATTAGACTTGGAGTAATCACAGAACAAGATGTAGGAGAGATAAGTACTGTGCACATATATCAATTCAGGTCTACTCCCTAATCGCAGAGTGCTGTCCAGAAGGAGCTTAATACACCAGAACCTGTCTGACTGCTGGTGTACTCCAATGTATGTGAGATGCATTTGCTTCTATGGAATCTACCGCATGTCTCGAGGTGTAGTACATACCTCCTTATAACTTGTAATACATATTCAAAGCCATTTAACTCCCAGCCTCCATCTGCCTAATACCCAGCACCTATATGACCTTGTTGGACATCCGATTCTAAAACCATGGGCAATAATATGGAGCTGGCCCCCTTTGTGGACATAACAGCCTCTACTCTTCTGGAAGGATTTCCCCAAGTTTTGGAGTGTGCCTGTGGGGACAGTTGGTGTTCCAATTTATCCCAAAGGTGTTTAGTAGAGTTTCGGTCAGGGCTCTGTGCAGGCCACTCGCCATGTTTTTATGGACCTAGTTTTGTGCACATGAACTCATTCATTTGGAGGGGTGTCCACATAGTCATATGGTATATGTATGCTGACCCTATTTTATTTACCAGAATGAGAAAAGCAGGTCATTGCTCCAAAATGCAGCATGCATTACATGAATAAGTACCCAGTGTTTAGAAACAATTAAGTTGACTATAGAAATTAGATTGAGTCAGATAGTCGGGCACAGTCTGACCACCAAAAGAGTTGTTGCTAAAGAGCTGCATCATCTTCATTCTTACTTTCCTACACTTAGGAAATTAGAATTGTCTTGGGGTGTATGCAAGCCACTGATTTTGCAGACCATTTTTGGATTTCTATGGAGAAAGACCATCACTAGCTGATTACTTTTTGTCTTGCTAACTATGAATGACTCTAAAACAACACATTCTTTTCAAATCAAGGTCAATCTGGTACGAAAAAAACCCCAAGATGCATTGAGCTCCATCTGTTGGGTTCAAGTGGTGAATATGAAATATTAATATTTCATATTACATATCTACCTGGCTAAATATAGCTAACAAATATTATAAATGAAGGCTCTGAACTCAATGAATAAAAAATTAAATAAATACAAGGAGCCTGTACAGTACAAAACAACACACATTCACTTTAAGAATTACAAAGCACCCAGGGAACTGAGAATAAGTTATGTTTTTCAGTTGAAATGCAAGTTGTATTCACCTTTATGTGAAACAGAGAATGCAAGACAGAAAATGACAAGGTCTAAAGGTATATTACTAATAATAATAATGTAATTATGACCCCTGCAATATGTTTTACCTTCAGAAGCAAATTGTTCCAGATGGTTTAAAGTATGTTCCATGTACTGGGAATCTCTTGACAACCTCTCAAATATAACATTATCCTTCAAAAGAAAAAATTAAGATGAATAAACATTTATATATATTATTACAACAAAATTCACTAGACAGAACAATGAAGTGTAGCATATACTAATGTGCCACTGAACTCAGCAGTTAAATCTTTAAAATGCATTCAAGTACACCAACTATTAAAAAAGGTTGCTTATTTGTGTATCACTCTGCTGTGGATCCTCAAATCATCTCTAGATTCATCTCCTTCCTTCAGGGGGGTGGCTACTTTTGTTCCCCATGGTCCCTGTGTGTGTGTTGTAAAGTAGTCACAGATCCTAGCCTGCTCCCCTGATGGACTACAATCTCAATACATATTAGTAAACTAAACCTGAGATTGTAGTCCACCACGGGATTGAGCTTGGAGCGGTGACTACTTTACAACACGCACAGAGACCATGGGGAACAAAAGTAGCCATTCTCCAGAAGGAAGGACAGTGTCAGCATGAATTCAGGGATAATTTGAGGATCTACAGATGAGTGACGCACAAATAAGATACATTTGTGTTAATCGTTAGGGTACTTGAATGCATTTTTTAGATTTAACTTCTGAGTTTAGTGTCACCTTAATGATTAATTGCTAATGGTATTACAATGCTCCAAATTTGTGCAAACAATTGCTACTACATGCAACTGCATGTATAGGGATAGTTAGGGATTCCTCACGGGAAGTCATGGGCTATTTTGGTAGCATGATTGACTGTGTAATATGTGTTGTCACAGATGCTTTTTTGTCTCAACATGTGGGTATGTGACAGGGTGACAACATACTGTAGCAGCAAAGCTGGAAGGCCATTGACACCCTTTAACAAGTATTGCCTGAAAAAAGGTCTTTATGGTAGAGTTACCAAGCTAGTTTAATTATGTCAACGAAAGCTGAAAATGTAGAAAGATTGGTAACCACATTTGATAATTACATTAACCATTTCAGCCCCCAAGGATTTTTCCATACCCCTTAAGCCGCTGTGCATTTTTGGCACTGTCTTGGTTCAACACCTTACAGAACCTTTGGTACAGATTGGATACATTTTGGTTTCCTAGGCTTATATTAAAAGAAAATAGTGAAGAAGTAGAAAATTATGCATTTCCTGTTATTTTTCGACAGCATAACTTTTATGCAATTTCCGCAGCCATATATATTTTCCCCAAATGGCAAGTTCGCTGATTAAAAATATATCACATAAGTGAGTTTTTTTTATGCAACATAGTGAAATAGAAAAACTCAAAGGAAACATCTACATTTTTCTTGAGGAGAACTTTATTCCCTTTTGGTTGCTACACAGGGAAGAAACTGGTTTATGTAAATTGTTAGCATAACAATAATGTATTGCTCATGCAGTAAACACAAATGTCATTTAGATCATCCAGAATAATTGATCATAAATAACAGTTGTTTGCAAACTTTTCAGTCTGTAGCAGGATCAGGCACAGTCAGCTCCTGGGTTTAGCGCTGGCGCTGACTTAGGCTGGCCATGCACCTATCAATTTTTTTCGTTGAACCCACGGGCTGAATGAAAAAATTACCCAATTCCTCCATCAACACAAGCAGTGTGTCGATCGAAGAATCCTGCTGTTTCAATTGTATTCTGACAGGAGCCGCTGGCCCTGTCAGAATACCTGACCAGAGCGGGTAGCTCATTGGCTGCTGGTTCTGATCGATCGAAAATGTTCCAGCCGGCTCCTTCGATCAGCTGATCGAGGAATGCTGGCTGAAAGGGAGTCGACAGCCCCACACAAGATTCGACCAGTGTATGGGCACCTTTACAGTCGGCAGTTCAAGCACTGGGACATGCAGGAGCAAGTGACTCCCGATGTCATTTTAAATCTTGCACTCAATTGGTCAGCATGTTAAACCTTATATTAGATTTTAGTGTTTGGGTTTAGATATATTTTATATATACTGTATATATTTCACTTAAAACAAAGCTAGCATAAGTATTTAAAAATCTAAGGCCAGCCTGGGTGTCATAATATCCGGAAATCCGTGCCGGATTTTTGCTTTGCTCCCTGGTTCTGGGCTGTCAGCCTATGGTGTATCACAAGGCTGCAGCCAATCTGCTTTCCTCCTCCCCTATTTAGGACTTCCTCACTTGTTGCTCTTCATGCGAGCAACAAGTATTTTGCCTTGTTCCGTACCCCTTGTGGCTCTAGCGATCCCTGGGATCTTATTCCCTATGCTTGCTATTGGATCCTTGTGCCTTTGGCTTCCCTGTACCAGCTGGTATCCCTGCTTGGCGTTATCCCCTGCTTTGCTTCTTGCGCCCCTACTATAGTATTTCAGTGGTCACCTTTAGTATATTGCTGCAGACCGTAATTGCTTTCACCTGTGTGCTGTGAGTCTCTCTATACTGCCTTCATTGCCTCACTTCTACTGTGGTTTTCCTCTCCAGCCTTTGTGTGTTGCTTCCTCCTATTTGCTTGCTTTCTTGTACTTCAGTTCCGACACTTACCTTCCAGTGTATCTTCCTATGCTTTGCTGTCACCCCTTTACTTCTGTGCTCCTCTCTTACCTTGTGACTGTGTTGGATTTGTCCTTGTCTGTACACCCACTGGGTGCATACATCCCTTTGTGCTTCTTTATGTACTTATCTCTCTGTTATCCTGCTTCTTTGTATGCATGTGCAACGCACATCTCCTGCTTACTTTTGTACGTTACACCTTCCTGCTCTTAGGTGTGCCTCTAAGCTACTTACCCTTCCCGAGTGTCCTTGTTTAGCTACCCTCTTCAGTATACTCTGCTGTTGGGCTGTGCATTTTGCACCTTTTGCTTGTGACTTTCTCTTTCTCTCATTGTGTGCCACTGTTCCTATCTTCCTTCTCTTGGTTACAAGTTTCTTCCCTACCTGTTGTTTGTATCCAGTTCCCCGGTGCTTCGACTAGTCCTTTGCATCTGTGTGGGTGCGCTAGAGGGCCGCAACCTGGAAGGTGTCCAGCAGCCAATCACCCTCACCACTAGAGGCTCTGTCGAATACCTGGCCCTTCTTAGATTCTGCGCCTCTAGTGCGTCCTGAGAACGCACAGACCATTAGTTCCTCTCTCCCTGTGACCAACATCCCAGATATCCCTCCTGTCTGTGACTCCTACCAACTCCTCAAACCCTGGAGCTCACATACCCTAGTGCCCCGGTCCCAGACCGTAACATTGGGAGTAATGAGGCTAGCAGTATAAGCCAACATGCTCTACTGCATTCAACAATGCGGTCAAGCTTATAGCCTATTGGGTGGGGTTGCAGGAAAATTAAAATAAAAAACGATGTTGGACATAGCACAAAACAAAACAAGAAGGTCCACTGTCTGCACAGAGGCCCAAATCCCCAATGCTGGATCACCTCTTGGGCTTAACCCAACCACAGTCTACTGATCCTTGTATGAAGAATAGAGACCGCACCATGGAAGCAATGCCAGGTTAAAACTTTATCAAAGTAAGAGTTCATGCATCACCCACTTAGTCTTCTCCCTCTAACAAGTTTCACTCATAGCTTTTGGGGAGAGCAGAGTGATGACCATGCTGTGACTCTGTTGTCTGGCAGGGGTGCACAGGTCACAAGACTGACCAAATATAATTACTAATATTGTAACAGGTAAGAATATTCACTTACATGTATTGCAACTGTACATTCAGCTTTTTGCCTGGAGCTCAGCTTTAAACATATCAGCACATAGGGAATAATTGAAAGCGGCAATAAAACCTGGAGTATTTTTAAATCAAGTCTCGGTCAGCAACCTCTGTTCTACATTTAAAAATGGCATTTTTATCATCTTCTCTCTAATGGAGTTACATGTATCTAGATAATCAAGCACAAAATCAGCTTAATTAACAATCCGCAGTTAAATCACTGAAATGTCACAGAGTTGGTTGATATTAAGCAGGGAAGGCAATAAGTAAAAGTTGTGGAATGCTGAAAGATTGTGTATGAACAAGGCATTATGTACATGGCTCTAGAAGGGCATGGCTGGGAAAATGCCCTGCTTGGTTTGATATATACATAAGCGTAACATGTATAATGGAAATAGGATCTTTATCTTTTTCTTGCAGACAAATTAAAACAAAGACAAAAGACTTTCTTTGATATGTTGCCTCTGGTTTGTATCAAGCCTACAGCAGCCATAAGTCATTGTGACACACAGGATAAATCCCATGTATAAATCACCAGTAATAGTAACCCATGGAGGGTGGTTGCCCATAAAGATGTTTTATCACTGCTATGTGATCTCAATGAAGTGGAGCAGAATAAATTAAGCTCATCCTTATCAGTGCAGAATAAAAACTCACTTGTTTTAAGTTATTCACCTTATTTAGTCATTATACACATAGTACATTCATTCACAGCAAGGGTGGCCATAGACATGCAGATCTATGCCCGAGAATGAGGTTTGGTAGCAGATCTCATTTTGGTGACTCGAAACCTTCCATAATCTTTTCCCCAATCTGGCCAATTATACCCTTGTACATGCATTTACGCTGCATGACTGAAGAGTCTGCAGTAACCAGCCCTTCTCAGTCTTGCAACTGCTCACTATCTGTGTTAAAGCAAACCTAGCATCACATATCTTTTCATGTTAAGTAAATGCCTGCTAAGTAATGTGTAAATGTACATATTATTGTATTATATGTATTATTGTATTGTATCTACCAGGGGTCCACGGTCCAGACATGGACCGAGTGGCAGTGCTGTCTGAACCGTGATTGGTAACCTGTACTGCGTTATGGCTGGCTGACAGTGGATACTCCGGCCTCTAAAGGCTTCTAATTCTAGATTGTAAGCTCTCACGGGCAGGGCCCACCTTACCATCTTGTCTTGATTTGTATTGTAACTGCAATGTCTTCCCTTTATCGTAAAGCGCAGCGCAAACTAATGGTGCTATATAAATCCTGTATAATAACAACAATAATAATCTCCTGCAATGTCCATGATAGCCTGCATAATGTAAACAGACGTTATCGCAGAAGCATGCTGATCATTTTCAAGTGTTTGTCCAGGGTTGTATGATACAGTTTACAGAGCTCTCCCAATGAAATCCAACATGATGATGCCAACACTGCTGTAATAATACAATGCAGAGTTGACAAAGGAGAAAATATGGGGATCTGCAATGCTATCCTCAATGTACCTATGTACAATCATTAAAGTGTACATATAGCCAAATTTACATTTTTTTATTTTGGTTGGGGTAGGGAAATATTATAACCCTGATCAGTTTTCAATGCTGTCTGTGTTCTCGCTATGTAGATTTGTCACCAGAACAAGAGGTAAAGGAAAATCTTCAAATTGGGATGCATGTTTTGGTAACAACTTCTGGTGACTGAAGGAAATTCCCCTCACTTTGTAAAAATGTTACTTCCTGTTGTGTTCTCTCAAATAGGAAGTAAAGGGAAATCTTTAAATCCCTAATCTATCCAAAATTGAAAAAATAGGTTTTTGCTATACATACACTTTAACATTGGGGCAGCGGATGGTGTTTCATGGTCTGTGCAAAGATTTGCCTTAAGAACATTTGCCCCTGTTTATGAATTCTGAACTTGGTATATTCAGGTGGAGCTGAGAAAAGTTCATATGTTATCGCAGCATCACATAATAAATAATACAGCACAGTGCTTTGGAGATCTCCACTGCATGGTGAGTAAGTGTGATGTGATGTTCTGCGGCATGGCAGAAATGTTATAGAAAAAAGCTACTTGGTTTTGGTGGTCAGATTTCTGGGAAACATATTCCAAAACCTCCCGTGGAGCCTCTATTAGTTTTATGGCATTATTTAATGTCACTTCAAATTGTACATACAACAAGCTCCCTAGTAACACATTTTGTTTTATTTTGAAATTGGCAACCTGGAAAACGGTAAAACTGATTTTGGATTTCAAGAGGAAAATGTCTCGTTTGCCGTTTGCTCACCAAAACTGAATACACAAAGGTTCTAAATCCATGTGATTTTTTTTTAATCTAGTATGAGTGCTATTGACCACAGTGTGAGTGGACCTCAGATAGTAATGTACTTGTGGGCTTATTTATAAAGATATTACGAATGGCTATGGTGACGTTCACAGTGTACTAAAGTCACATCAATATGCAATAAATTGTGATTGGCTCGTATTGATTCTTCACTTTATACATTATCTTAATAAACCCAAAACCAAAAATGTTTTAGAACACTGCTCGCTGGTCTTTAGGTATGGTGGCTCCACTATTTTTAAGGCTTTCTTTTCACCTGGTAATGCTGCAAATGACATAATTCCTGTTTAAGGGTGGCTACGTTTACTCGCGTTACTGTTTCTATGGAGGGGGCCATGGCTGCCACCCTGTCTGGACTTCAAACATGTCTGCCCTTGCTCTCTATTACATGGAAGGTGAGGGGATTAGTATCATTTACACAAGAAAGAAAACCTTGTTTTTGCTTGTAGCGCATCTCACAGGAAGTGATAAGGACACTGCATTTCTGGCAAGATAAACAGGGTAGTTTCTGTACTTGCTAAAAAAAAAATGTTTTTAGCCTAATAAATAAAAACAAATGCAGCCACCACAACTATAATGTGGCAACCTGGGGCTGTTTTCTCAGGTGGCATCTTTTTGGGTCATGTGGAGGGGGCAGCAGGCAGAGCACCGCACAACCCCTCCCCCCAGCCTCAGGTGGCGAAAGTGCTACGGACACCCAATCTTGAACCAAGATTCTGTAAGCTATAAACAAATTTAAAACCCGGAGAGGATGAGAAAAGAAGACACACTTACAATGGCCAAGAAGTGGGTAGAGCTGGGACACTGTAATCTTCCTGCTGAAGTCCCCAAAAAATGTAAAGCCCTAGTGCAACCTACAGGCACCTATACAAAGACAGCCTGGGCAGAACCTTTTCAGAAATCTGTTAATGGTGGCTGTGAACCCTAGGACATAGTTTCAAGATGTATTAACAAGAGTTCAGAGGGAATGTTGAAGTGACCACAAGGCAACAAAACTGCTTGCTGTGCCTTGTCTGACATTGTCTTTTTCCTGGAAGCCTTTTGCAATACAGTCCATTTCACTCAATCCAATGTGTGCTTGCCTTTATTTTCAGTAAACTCTAAAGGTCAGTGCAAGCTATGCTCCCTTCAATGTACAGTGAGCAAAATGTACTGCAATATAATGTATAAGCCAGCACAGAATCAGCTAGGATGTATCTGACTATCTTTCAAGCCGCCTCCAGCAACGGGATTGTTTGTGTCAATGTGCCTTGCTCAGCAAGGAGTTTGAATTTTCCATGCAGTAAGCCATAACAGCCAATCATAATGGGGGGAATTTATCAATGTTGTTAAATCATCAGCGACTCTCAAACTGCTGTATCCCTTATTTCTAGTGCATACAGGGACAGATTTATTATCTTAGTTTATGTTTTATTCCTAGATGCCTTCATAAGGAGAACTGTCTCTAAATTGTCGTAAGCTAGCTCGTAACCTCTTGGATGACAGCTGAATAGTTCCCAAGTGCTCAGCTGACTTGAGGGTATGAGTCATCTTTGCGATAATTTAAGAAGTGCTCAGGAGAACTTCTAGGATGTGCGTCTGTTGTAAATGCTGTATACAAATACTGCCCAGTTGAAATGTCACAAAACATGTGCAGTGAGTCGCAAACATTAAAGGAGAACTATGAGGTGAGTGCTTTTCACTCACCTCATAGTTCTTGCCGACCTGTGACAATGAGACTGTCACAGGTCGGCTCAGTAGATCGAGAAGTGAGCAAACACATACCGGCGTTCGCTCACCTCTCGATCCTGTCACAGCTCTCTGCCGTGACAGGGGAGGGGCTGGATTCCCTCCTCCCCGCTCCGATCCGCCAGCGCTAACTGGCGGATTGGACGGGAGAGGGTACAGCTGGCTCTGCCTCTATATAGGCAGAGCCAGCTGTCAGTCACGCAGCTGGGCGTATCCAGACATAATTGTCGGGATCCGATTCAGCTGCTGCGCCTCAGTATACCGCAAGCTACAGCTCTACTACTGAGCTTAGGGTGACGGGAGGACGCTAGTTTGTGTCCTCCCGTTATCCTAAGGAGAACTATGGGGAAAAGCCTTAACCCCATAGTTCTCCTTTAATATGTCGCAAGAACACTTAAAAAAAGACTAATAACAAAGATAAAACTCTGCGGTTATTTAGAATGACATTTTGGTCTTTGCGCCTACAAATTTTTAAGACAGTTTTTTCTATTAGTCTAACTTCTGCAAAATTAATTCTGATTGGTTTCTATGGGTATTTCTGATTGGTTTCTATGGGTTACTGCATTCAAGAATAAGAACACTTTGGGGTCTATTCACTAAGCTGCCGTAGGCAGCCGAGTGAATGACCGACCTGAAGTGAAGTGAGCCGAACACTGTTCGGCTATTCACTTCAGGCTGGTACGTCTAATTTCAGCCGTACATCGGCTGAAATCAGCTGTACATCGGCTTGGTTCACATGGCTTCGGGTCGGCCGAACATGCTCAGCATGTTCACTGGGGCCAAAGCTAGCCGAAGCTACGGCTAGATCCTTCGGCAGCTTCGTGAATAGACCCCTTTATGTAATATGGCAAATTATGTCCAAGGCTACTAAGAAAAACCTTTTCAGAATGCCATGGCTCCAAGCTTAGAAAACCAATGAAATAAAAAGAATTACAGGGCTGAAGTTCCAGCACACACACAAAAAAAACAGTGATCAGTGTAAAGGGAGCTAGTTGCTCTGTAAGTGAAATACCTGGTTACTTGGTACACACATGAATATATCACAGCAGGGAACACAAATGACAGGAAACTTACTGCTCCTTTGCAATAGAGCCTGAGATTCCCTGATGCAGTCCGGACAATCACAGACATCCTTTTTCTGTCGCTGAAAGAAACAGAAAGATGAATTCTGTCAGTGAGGAAATGGCAGCAGCATGTACACAGTTAAAGGTATTGAATCTATCCCATTTATTATAAAACCATGCTGCTATTCCTGGGACAGCCTGGGATTTCATCAGGCTAAGTCTGGAATTGTAATGTTTTCAAACCACTGAAAATAAAAAGGGCTTATGAGACTGGAAGTAATGGATTCCCAGAGAATATTATTCTACAGCATGAAAAGTCAGCATGCTCTGCTCTGATGGTGGACAAATGAGCCAGTCAGTAAAATTTAAAGTAAACCTGTGCCAAGACTATGTTACATATTTTAAATAAGCAGTAAGGGTAATTTTTGAAGTCCTCATTTACCTCTGCACCTAAAAGCATTGTGGAAAAATTAATCCTGGCATCCTGTCCACCTTTTAATGTAATCACACAGCAGGTGTTTCTATGCTGTTGGTAACGGAGCACTTGTTACCTTGGAAGATCTTTGAGAATGAAATACTTCACAGTACAAACAGCTAAAGAGGTCAGGGCGGCTTGTTTAAGGTTTTATACTGCTTGTAAAGATTATGAGAAGCTCACAGTGTGCAGTCAAATCAGAGTAAGCAATTTCATTACAGGACAGTACACTGTGCAAGATGGGACGTAAGGCTAGAGTTCACCTTTAACAGCCATTTTTCAACAATGAGGTTAAGGTCCATCTATTGTTGCCTGTAGAGGTCCAAATTTACAATGGCATCCTCCAAGTGTTCATTTCTCTCCAATGAATGAAGGAGCCAGTGATAAAATCTTATATCCAGGCTCTATTACTGCAGTCTAATGGTATGTTACTGTCATAGTGGGCACAGGGCACATTTTCTTTGCTTCTCTGTTGAAACATGACTTAAGTAGGCTATACACGATGCAAATTTCGGCTGGTTCCTGATCAACCAGCCGAAATTCACTGCATGGGTGCTACTGTCATTACCCTTCCGCCCCGGCATCCGTCCATCAGCTGTATGAAGAGCCGGTTGGAAAATTCTCGGTCGAATGGAGCAGGCAACCAGTCAGCTGCAGGCCGTTGTCAAAATACAATTGAAGCAGCAGGGGATTCCTCGTTCAACGCTCGTAAGCGTTGATGAAGGAATCTGTTCTATTTTTTTCATTCAGCCCACAGGATGAAAAAAATAATAGAACTGTGTATACCCAGCTTTAGCAATATAGTAAGTACAGGTTGAAAAATCACCAAAGCTTAATCCTTCCTTATGCTAATTGCTTGAGAAAGGCAAATAAAAAGCCTAGCCCAAACTTACAAATGATTTTATCTTGACACAATTAGTGGCGGTTGAATTATTTCTCTGAATCAATCACTGCGCTGACAAATCCTACTAATTATAGCTGGAGATGCCTTTTCTAATAGGAAAGCTACTTGAGCCACATATAAATGTACTTACACCCCTAGCCATCAACACCTCCTTTGGTAAAGAATTTTAGTCTGGAATCTTTTCTATCAGGGTGACGAAAAGAATTTCTTCAGATGTAGGTGGATTTCACCTAGTTCTGTGCATGATTTTTACAGATGAAAAGCTAATTAAAGAGTTCATTAAGAGCTCTAATACAGAAATTAATCTGATCCCTAGTGGTTACACTGTATACACTGTAATTGCTTTACTTGAAGTAGTTAGAAAATGACAATGGGTTTATCTCCCAAGATTCTCAGGATCGTTCATGAGGCCTCAATCTATACAAATGCAATTACTGTGTTACTAGCGGTCAAAGGGCAAAGACAAGGGGACCCTGTGCTCCTGGGAGAAATGAGGACATTGTTCAGATACACATTATACTATTTATCTTCAACTGAGTAGTACAGTACCTATTGATGTTATTATCCACAGTACCGCAAGTGCTTACAGGTCTTTCTGTATGGGCCCATTCACAATGTAATGTGAAGTCTCAGATACATTGTGTTGTATTGCATTTTGGAAACAATTATAATGATTTGAATGGCAAAACTGATTTAAATCCGATAAATACATTGCAGGTGCATCAAAACAAAAGGTGTTAAATGTTATATAGTCCTTTAGAAAGCAACCACAGCGTTAGTAGAAAAGCATGTCCCCTGCCAGCATGCTGCGGAGAGGGTCCTTTGCTCTGTGAGGAAACAGTGGTCTCTCTGCAGAAGTTCCACACACTGCCTGTTGAGTTAGACTTAGAGCTCTCCAATCAAGAGGAATCATAAGCTTTGTTGGCTGCAGAACTATATTGGTGAAACCGCAGGGGGCAGACCTCTAGAGAGAGATCACTTCTTTTTTATAGAGACTAAGGCCTATTTACACTACACCATTGCATTAAATGCATGGCATCTGGCCGTTCAGCACACTCTATCGCACAATGCACAGCACCGCATGCTTAGTGCATTGTGTTGCTGTTGATTCTCAATGGCACCGCAATGCACCTCTCAGTGGGCGTTCATTGCAGCGCCATACAACATTGTGTGCTGCATTGCCGTGCAGGTAAAATGCACTACTTTTTTAATTGCATAACAAAGCTACGCACGTTGTTGTACTGTTGCATGTTGCACAGCACTGCAACACACGCTTGCCAGCAGGTGCATTGGGGTGCCATTAAGAATCAAAGACGTGTGGTGCGGCACAATAGCACACGCTAAATGCACGGACCCCATGTGTTTAGCGAGACACTACAGTGTGAATAAGCCCTAACGGTCCTTCTCTACAGCATGCTGGCAGGGGACACACTTTTCTACTATGGTTGTGGCTGCTTTGTAAAGAAAACAACTTTTTTGCATCTTTTGTTTTGATGCACCGAGAATGTATTTACCTGATTTAAAACTAAAATTCAGTTAGGCTTTCCATTAATAACTTAATTAATCAAATGCTAATTAGAATGTGATTTGGAACAATATTATAATCAGGGGTGCTGCTCAGTTAAACAGCATTTGATACAGCAGGTCCAGTATTAATGAAGTCCACAAAGATCTAAAGGCTCCATCACAAAAAAAGACAAATAGGAAAAATGACTTATGAAAAACTGGCTTTAATTTTCAGATGATTGAAAACACAAATGTGGCACCATGCAGAGAGTGGTCAACCTCAGTTTTTATACAGGCTCTGAGAAGATATGAATAGTATAGTAGTACGCAGTAGCTTGATGGCATAAGCTATAGCATAACTCCAGTTAAACAAACACACAGATTTGCTCAGAAAAGATGGATGGCTCGTAACTTTTGCTTGGCAGAAAGACCTGGATGTGGGTTCCTCATTAGTTGGACATTCCTAGAAGACATTAAAGGTAATAGGAGGGAGTAAGAACTAGCTCAGGAAGCATTGTCCTGCCCTGGGAGTAATGAGGACATTGTTCAGATACGCATTATGCCATTTGTCTTCAACTATGTAGTTACAGTACCTATCACTGTATTATCCATAGTACTGCCAGTGCTCAGAGGTCTTCCTGTTAAAGTAATTTCTAATTAAAAAGATAGATACACAAAGAGACAGAAGATAGATAGCCAGCTTAATAGAGAACTAAAACCAAACCTTTTTTTGGCTTTGCTTCTCTTTTGAATCACAGAAGTACATCTACTAATGTACTCCTGTGACCCAAATTCAGCAAATAGCACGCTACTGCCTGCATTATGCTGACAGCGTAGAGCTGCGCTTGCAGCCAGGAAGGATCCCGACAATATTGTTGGGATCCACCCAGGGGCGTAACTAGAAATCACAGGGCCCCATAGCAAAATTTTGTATGGGGCCCTGTGATTTCTAGTTATAACCCTTGCATAGCCCACTTGAGATGCCACACAGCCCACCTGAGGGTGACCCCTCTCTATGGGGGGCTCTGCAGGGTCACCCTCAGGTGGGCGGGTCGCACTTCTTACCTGTCCGCCTCCTCTTCCTCCATGCTCGCTGATGGGCCTCCGTCGCCGAGCCCGCCTCCTTCTCCATCACCGTGCCCTGCCTCCTCCCCTGCTGTCGATCACGGGCCCTGCCTCCTCCTCCCTTGCCAGGTCCGGCCTCCTCCACCGCCGCTGCTGGCTCTCATTGACTCAGCAGCGGCTCTGGAGACGAACACACTGCAGCACAGATTACAGTCAGTGATCTGAACAGCAGCGCATTCTTCTTCAGAGCCGCCAGTGACAGCCAGCAGCAGAGGATGCCATAGCGACCCACTCGGCATCTGGCCGGGCCCCATTGGTGGGACGATTGTTACGCCACTGGATCCACCCCGTTGCCTGACTGACATGGCAGCTGGCTCTGCCTCTCTAAAGCCAGAGCCAGCTGTGTCTGCTCCCTCCCGTGTCTGTCCCACCAATAAGCACTGGAGAAATGGAGAAAGGGGAATCGCTGCAGGGAGGAATGACTGACAGTCACAGTTCTCTGCAGGGGGAAGCCATCAGCAGTTTGTGATCACTCAGTTTTTGAGGCTTCCGTTTTACTGGCTCTTTTCTGAAAACTCCAAAAGTGATTTTTCCTCTGCTATGTATGGGAGCTGGAATTAATGTTTACCATAATGAACTCTGCCTGTATTATGTTAGCACATCTCGTTATCAGTTGTAAACTAAATGTGAACACTGTCTGCCCTAACAAAGGGTAGAAAATCCAGAAGCCTGGCTTTTCCATTGTATGCCAATGAGGGGAAACCTACTCTGTCCCCCCTTGTCTAGGGACAGACTCACTTTGAAACTGTCAGGTGCCCTGTGTCCCCTTGTTGTGACTGTCTGCCACTGAACCAGCGGGCATTTCTCCCACCACACTGTCATTGAGGTAAAAGTGCTGAGGGAAGCTTCCCTGGCTGCTCCTCAGCTGCTGTTACGCCTACTAAGGGATTCCGGTGTGGAGCGCAACTGCGGACGGATGTAAAGAGAGTTGGGAGTTAGGCTTCTCAGGCGTGAGTCTCAGGCGTCGCTCCCAGTCTTAAGGGGGAGTTTGAGACTCTTGCATCACAGCCAGTGAAATCAACAAAAATGAATTAGCAATGCTATTACTTCATAGCATCTGAGTGTATAAT